AAGGCAGTCCCAGTGCAAGCATCGCCTCGTGTGGTACGCTGGGCCTTGACGCTGGCAGCCTACAGGTACAAGCTGGTCTACCGCCCTGGGAATTACCTGGGACCTGCCGATGCCCTGAGCCGCCTGCCCCTGCCGGAGGTGCCTGCTGCCGTTCCAGAGCCAGCTGACGTGTTCCTGCTGGAGCGGGCCTACCCGGGGGTGCTTACCAGGACTGCGGTGGCGCAGGCGACCAGCCGGGACCCGGTCCTGTCTCGGGTGGTCAAGGCAGTTGCCCGAGGGGAGGAGCTGCGTCACCAGGCCTACAGCCACAAGACCGCCGAGCTGAGCTTGGAGCAGGGCTGCCTCCTGTGGGGTTCCAGGGTGGTTATTCCACAGAGTCTCCGGGCCAAGGTGCTGCAGTTGCTGCACGCGGGGCACCCTGGCATTGAAAAGACCAAGATGGTGGCACGGTCGCACGTTTGGTGGCCTGGACCAGGACATCGTGCACCAGGTGCAAGGCTGCCAGGTCTGCCAGGAGAACCAGTGAGCCTTGCGCCATTTGGAAATCACCCCCTGGCCGTTCCCACAGAGGCCGTGGTCCCGCCTGCACGTGGAGTATGCCGGACCCTTCAAGGGCCACTACTTCCTGGTGGTAGTGGACGCCTTCTCAAAGTGGGTGGAGGCACTGCCAGTAACCAGTCCCTCGGCAAGCGCGACCATTGCGGCGCTGCGGCAGGTCTTCGCGGCGCAGGGATTGCCGGACATTATTGTGTCCGACAATGGTCCCGCTTTCGCTAGCGCCGAGTACCTGGACTGGCTGCAGAGGAACGGGATCCGCCGGATGCTGGTTCCGCCGTACCATCCTGCTTCCAATGGTGCAGCCGAGCGAGTGGTCCAGACCATCAAGGACAAGCTCAAGAAGAGGCAGCCTGGGGATTTCCGAACGCAGGTGGCCCGGGTACTGTTTCAATACCGGACCACACCGCATGAGGTCACTGGCCGTGCCCCCTGCGAGCTTCTGCTGGCCGGATGGTCAAGACCCCCTTGGACGTCTTGCACCCAGACCTCCGGTCCTCGGCGCTCCTGAAGCACCTGAAGCAGAAGCTGGCTGTTGATCGAGGGTGCCGTCCCGGGCCTTTGCCGGAGCCGGGAGCGTTGGTGTACGCCAGGAACTTCCGTCCTGGTCCACCCTGGTCTGCCGGGCGTGTGGTTTCACCAGCGAGTGCCTCGTCGCTGCTCGTCCGCATGCCCGACGAGACCACCTGGCACCGGCACGCCGACCATGTCAGGCCTCGCCTCGGGACCTGGCTTCCACCCTCAGCCATCGCTTCGGAGGACCAGCCCGCAGGGGGACCAACAACAGCACCAGTAGCGGCCAGCGGAGCGCAACACCCCGGAGGCGACAAGCGTCACCACTCCTGTGGCACCAGTTGCACCGGTGCCACTCCCAAATCCGGTCCTTGCGGCTCCACCAGATAGAGCGCGACCGGGACAGGCAGCGCCCGGCGTTGCCACACCTGGCATGTTGACACCAGTGGTCAGGCGGAGTACGCGGCAGCGAAGGCCAGCTGACCGCTACTTGCCGGGGTGACCTTCATCGTCGACCGGCCAGGACTTGTCACGACCAGACACCGAGTCAGTGTTGGTCGTGTTCATTGGTTATTCTTTTATTTTGTTTTAGAGAAAACAAACTGGGGGGGAGGAATGTGACAAGTATGTAGCGCCCCCTCCAGTCCGCCCGTTGTTGGCCGCCAGGCTCGGCGGGCAACATTGTACACCGCGCCAATAAACACCGTTGAGTGCACGCCGCTCCGGTCAGTCATCGTCCACCCTCACAACCAGGCTGCGTGTCGTCTCTTCTCGGCGGGTGCTTCGGCCCCCTTTGTCCACGTTCGAGAAAGATCGTGACAATGGCGTCGGTTGTGAATCTTGTGATCGTCGACGTAGACGGCGTGGTGGACGCGCATCGTTCCTTGTAAAAGCGGTATCCTTGACTGAATTTTCGTTGTGTGTCGCTATAATAACTCCGCACGTACTAGAAGGAAAATCTACCTATTCGTGTGGCGATGTCGGCGGCACTCAAGACGGCAGAAACGCCCGTGTCGTCGTGTTTGTTTACTTCGACTACAGTGGTGCTTTCTAAGCATTTGTGTTTTCGAACATCGCCCGGATTCCTTATTTGGAGCATTTCATGCCTGTGCTCAAGTTGTAGGTATTACTGGAGCGTACCGTATAAAGGATGCGAATTTTCACGCGTTTTCATCGCCGGAGAAAAGTGATTATGGTTAGCAATCCTGAACGCTCGCAACGTCCGTCCGCAACCCGCGACGCCGTTAAAAGGCTGCGCCAGGCAAAAGTCGCTTATTTCTTTAAAAATGTGTGACACACTTGAGAGAGAAGTGTACTAGTCTGGTGAAGTAAAGACTTTCCTCAAACTAAGCTTTATTTTTCATCTAACATAAAATAAATTCTTTTACAAAGGTAAGTTGTCTGATGGCATGTATTTTGGCCTGAAAAATTGATGTTTTGGTTATAGCGCGGTAATGCTTATAGTGCGGATTTTCGCGACTCCCGTGACATACGTTATATGCGGTCTACACTGTAGTGCGGTTTCTGAAACAGCGCGCCGACTGACCGGCGCAGCGAGCACGCTTCCCTGTGCGACATATAACGGCGCGAGCAGCGCAAGCCGCAAGTTGGCAAGCAGCACTTGCGGGGCAAGGAGGTTGCTCGAAGAAGCGGGGAGATGCAAAGAGAGAGGCTTCAGTTGCCATAGCGACGGAGGGATGCACACCCGTGTCGTTCATGTGCGTGCGTCCCTCCGCTGCATTGGAAAACAACCGTAACGACAGACGAATCGTAGAATGAGGAGAAGTGTTCGCGCGCGTTACATGCCTGTCGCGGGCCGGCTGCTTCTATCCGCGAACATGGCGTCTGTTGTAATCGTCGACATAGACGGCATGGTTACAGAGCCACCCTAGCATGGTGGAAGCTCATCGTTCCGCGTAGAAGCGCTATCCTTGACTGTAAATTTTCGTTGTGTGTCGCTATGATAACCCAGCACGTACTAGAAGGAAAGATTCACCTACTCGTCCGGTGATGTTGTGGCGGCACTTTCAAGACGGCAGAAACGCCCGTGTCGTCGTGTTTGTTTACTTCGACTACAGTGGTGCTTTCTAAACGTTTGTGTTTTCGAACATCGCCCGGATTTCTTATATGGCGCATTTCAGGCCTGTGCTCAAGTTGAAGGTATTACTGGCGTGTACCGTATAAAGGATGCGAATTTTCACGCGTTTTCATCGTTGGAGAAAAGTGATTAGGGTTAGGAATCCTGAACGCTCGCAACGTCCGTCCGCAACCCGCGACGCCGTTAAAAGGCTGCGCCAGGCAAAAGTCGCTCATTTCTTTCAAGATCTGTGACACACTTGAGAGAGAAGTGTACTTGTCTGGTGAAATAAGGACTTTCCTCAAACTAAGCTTTATTTTTCATCTAACATAAAACAAATTCTTTTATAAAGGAATGTTTTCTCATGGCATGCTTTTTGGCCTGAAAAATTGATGTTTTGGTTATAGCGCGATACCGCTTACGGTGCGGATTTTCGCGACTCCCGCGACATACGTTATATGCGGTCTACACTGTATATCTGAGGACAACCTGATGGAGAGTCAGGAGAAAGATTTTTGAAGGCATGCGCAGCCAGGGTGTTGTTGCTGTCAAGCGCATCACCATCCGTAGAGATGACAGAACTTCCTATGCGACACCTGGTCCTTACCTTTGAGCTCAACAGCCTGCCTTCCGTGAAAGCGGGGTACTTGAATTGTAGGGTCCGTCCTTACATACCTAACCCTGTCCGTTGTTTCCGCTGTCAGCGTTTTGGGCACGGCTCGCGGTCCTGCCGTGGCCGTGAGACGTGCCAGGTCCGGTAGTTGTGAGCACAACGCCGATGACTGTCATGAAGACGTGAAATGTGCAAATTGTAAAGGCAAGCACCCTGCATATTCTAGGTCATGTGAACACTTTAAAAGAGAAAAGGAAATTATGACCCTGAAGGTGAAAGAAAACATCTCCTATCCCGAAGCAAAGAGTCGCCTCTTGCTTTTCCAAGGAGGCTTTTTTGCCGAGGTGGTGCGCCGGGGACCTGCACCGCCTATGGCGTCTGTGGGAACGCAAGCGTCTTATGGAGACCTTGCACAACCACTTAAGGCCTCTGGTCCCAAACTAAAGGTGCAACTTCAGGGCGTGCTATCTCAGCTGCCCAGGCAGGTGCCCTTCCCAACCGTGCGAAAGGCTCGGATTTATCAACCGAGCAGACGGGGGCCACCCCATCGCAGAAGAAAGGTACTATCGGGGAAAAATGAAATGCGAACAGAGGAGCGCGTGGCTCGCGGTACAGGCTGCGCTGCCTGGAAGTGAGCCTAGGTGCGAGGGTGCGTGGCCTACTTCGATATGTTCACGCCCCTCCCTCTGCGCTCCCCAAGCTTCAGCAGTGCGCCTCTTCGTGCGCTGAAAGCTATCACCACTATCTTTGCTGGCTCAGCGCGTGCGGTGCAAAGAAGCTCGCCGCACTCACCGAGCAGGCAAAGATACCCAGCTAAAAATACCCATTGGTTCCAATTGGCTTTTCCAATTGGTACCAATTGCCAAAACCAGTTAGGTTTTGGGACTCCCAATTGGAAGAATACCAATTGGTACCAATTGGAACGAAAACCATTTGGGTTTTGGGACTCCCAATTGGAAGAATACCAATTGGTTCCAGTTGGAAGAATACCAATTGGTTCCAATTAGAATGAAAACCATTTGGGTTTTGGGACTCCCAATTGGAAGAATACCAGTTGGTTCCAGTTGGAAGAATACCAATTGGTTCCAGTTGGAAGAATACCAATTGGTCCCAATTGGAATGAAAACCATTTGGGTTTTGGGACTCCCAATTGGTAAAATACCAATTGGTATTTTTCCAATTGGAACCACTGCCTGTTATGTTCCCAGACTTCTTTTTGGAAAGTATCCATCAATTCCCCTCTGTATGTTTTCACATTTTATTATGCAAATATGCTCTTGGAAAACATTTGTTTTCCGGATGGTCTGCAGACACTGTAAATAGTCACAAACTGGATTTTAATCTATTAACATCTGAGCTGCATTCTTCTTGCTTGAAATTCTGAAATAAGCAGAAGAACAAGGAGTACATTAGCAGGAATGTCAATCAGTATGATGACATGGGTCAAGCATGAAAGCATAGAAATCAATGAAAGCTAGATAATACGGCTTCAGTTAGTATGGCCTTCTCAATTATGATAGTGATCCAAGGCTTGTCGAAAATTTTAACAGGATAAACGGCTCACAAGTCTAACACGCCTCGCAGCAGAGAGTTGTGTGTTGTCCGTTCAATTCGTTAGCTTTCTGCCATCTTGAGCTTTTACATCAAAATTAGTCCCTTTTTACATACCTAGTGAGAGAAATTTACTATGTCGTTATCAGCTTAGAGGGGATCCAAAGCTTTGCAGTCAGTCAAATGTGGGGGTTTCACATGCCAACCAATGATGGGCATTTGGCATGCCCCAGGAGGTCTGAGGATTAATTTGGACCACCTTAGTATCTTTTGAAGTGCAACCAAAAGCTCGGTCACCAAGGAGCCTTCTTCACAATAACCATCCATAAAATTGCGGGTACCTCGGCCGGGATTTGAACCCGCCACCTGGGCATCCGTAGGCCGGCGCTTTGCCTTGGAGCCACCGAGGCTGCTTAAGGGTTTGCACTGAGACCATTCTTTTCAACAATTTTGACTGCAAAGAACTATTCGTTGTGTGCACGCTGGATCTCGGAAAGGATACAATTGTCATTATTTGAATGTGTGAGGCTACACATGCCTTTGATTGCAATGAGAGCAGAGCTATCTTTATTCTAACAGCTGTCCAAATTCAAAGGAATATTTATGATAGCATGCTAGCTGCATTCTGCACAATGGAAGCATTTAATAATTTACAAATATTGCAAGCAACACGTGGCAATAAAAAGGGTGTTAAGAGCAACCCAAAGAAAAACAGCAAATATATTGAAGGCTCAAATACTGAATGAGGAAATAGTGAGACACAAGAAACTGTTTGCTACAATGGAAAGCGTTTTACAATGCGATGTGTGCACCGCATGGCGAACTTTTTCCCTAACGCGGACGTGCGGCAACAGTTCCAAACATAAAAGCAGGTAGAACAAGCAAAGTTGGCTATGAGAACACTTTAGCAAAGAAGGTTGACCCTGAAAATATTCAAAACTTGCTTCAGGAGTCAGGACAAAGAGAAAAATCGCGCTCACCACTGCTGCCACGGGACGGAGTTGGTGGTTAACCCCAGCTTGTTGCGGTTCCCCTAGGCTTTTCTTGGGCACATTGATTAAAACAAGAAATGTCAAACGTTGGTAAACTTGATGAAAATATCACATTTTCATATCCTCCTACTCTCATCCCACACATGTGCTCCCAGAAAAACAAACACCTACTGGTGTCACTAGCGATGGGGCGTTTCAAGTTCCAACTTCCAAACCAAAACTATAAGTAAAACTAAAAAAAAAAAAAAGAATTGTTAAAACAAAAAGCCATCAGAGTAATAATAAATTATATATATATATATATATATATGTATATAAACGCAAAGAAAGGACAAAAAAAAACGAATAATGAGGTGGCCAGTGACCCTATTTTTTTGTTGGCGTTCCCCACACCCTTGAAAAAAATTCCACATTTTATCAGTTTATTTTTGATTCAGAAGAGTAAGCTCATAATCCTTCAGTGCAAAATTATTCTAGAGCTCCAATCTCCAAGAATCCAATTGGAATAAGTGTCCCAATTGGTCATTTAATACCAATTGGAATATATATTTCCAATTGGAGTGACCAATTGGGAGAATGTGTTCCAATTGGAATGGCCATTTGGTTGATTAATACCAACTGGTATATATATTCAAATGGTGTGACCAATTGGGAAAATGCATTCCAATTGGAATGGCCAATTGGTTGTCTTCATACCAATTGGTTCCCACTGATACCAATTGGTACCAATTGAAATTCCAATTGGACTCAATGGGTATTTTTAACTGGGTAGCGGTGTCAGCTTCCAGCGCACTCAGAGGCGCACTGCCGAAGCTGGGAGAGCGCAGAGGGAAGGCCGTGAACACGTCGGAGTAGGCCACGCACCCTCGCTCCTAGGCTCACTTCCAGGCGGCGCAGCCTGTACCGCGAGCCACGCGCTCCTCTGTTCGCATTTCATTTTTCCCCGATAATACCTCTGGAGTAGTGCACACTGCTCCACCCGGACATGAAAGGGTGGATGCTGGTCTGTTGGGACCCACCCGAGCACAGGGGTCTGCGTTCCCTGCACAGGGTTCTGCACCCCCTGCTCCTCTGTCCCAACCATCGCGAGGTCGGGGACTTGGTCCCTCGGCCCCTGGTGGATCTCGGAAACTGGGGGAGCCGTCAAGGTTACAGGCCTCCAAACAGGAGTCCCTTTTGGCTCTAGCTGAGCCAATGGACGAGAGTGGGTCAAGGTCCGACGAGGACAGACCTCACTCGAGTTCCGAATCTCTACTTCCGGCCTCCGGTGGCACCACGGGCAGGCCGGATGACCTCTAAAAAGAAAAATGCTCCGCGTGTTTAAGTCGTAGAAAGTTTGCTTACTTTTGACAGTTATTTTTATTTTTTATTATGAACTTTACATTGGTCACAATTTTAGCATTATGCAGTGGAATTGTTGCGGCCTTTTTCGTAACATCGATGACATACATTTTTTTCTTGATGAGCTCTGTCCTGTGGCCTTGTGCCTACAGGAGACTTATCTGAGTGACACCCACACAAACGTGCTACATCGTCATCAGGTTTTCCGAAAGGACCGCATTTCATCAAACCCCTCGGGTGGTGTAGCAGTGGTAGTACAGAGTGGAGTTGCCTGTGCTCCAGTCCTTTTACAGACTCCACTTGAGGCAGTTGCAGTTCGAATTCTTCTTGACCATCTCATTACCCTTGTATCCCTCTACTTGCCACCCAACACTCCGCTGCACTAGCAAGAACTTTATTCATCTTTATTCATTCTTTATTCATCATTGTCCTGCAGCGCCATCAGGCATTATCGGAGGGGGCGAATAAACTCTGAAAAAACATTTCTGAATTCGCGGCACGCACAATCGCACTGGGCAAGGCATTCCACTCCTTAATTGTTTTAACAAAAAAAGAATTTTTTCCCAATTCCGTCCTGGTGCGGTATTCTCTAATCTTATGAGTGTGGTCTTTTCTTTTTGAGATATAATTTGGTGGTAATAAGTAAAATGAGCTATTAATGCCAGTTTTATTGTTATAAATGTTGTATAAAAACTTCAAGCGCAAATTTCTTCGTCTTAATGCCAATGTAGACCATCCCAGTTCTTTTATCATGTCGGTTACACTCTCAAAGCGGCCGTACCGCACCAAAACAAAACGAGCGGCACAACTCTGAATTCTTTCTAAAGCAACAATGTGGTTTTGCTGAGTAGGATCCCAAACGGTGCAGGCGTACTCTAGCACTGGACGCACATAAGATAGATAGGCGAGCTCTTTGATAGATTTAGTTGATTTTCTTAAATTTCGTTTTAAAAATCCAAGCGCTCTGCCGGCCCTCATAACAACGTCGTTAATGTGTGCGTTCCAGGTGCAGTCAGCTGACAGAGTGACGCCAAGATATTTAACTGTTTGCTGTTTTGTTACGGTTTCATTATTCAGTTGGTAACATGTTTCAACTTTTGTTTTGGTTTTGCGGGTAAAACTAACATGGGCACATTTTTTAACGTTTAACTCCATCTTCCACTTTTTACACCATTGCTCTATTCGATTCAGATCACACTGCAGCCGCGTGGAACTCCCCTTGTCTGTTATGCATGTATAAACAACACAATCATCGGCAAACAATCGTACCTGTGAATTAACACCGTCATTAATATCATTAACAAATATCAGAAACAACAATGGACCCAAAACGGACCCCTGCGGTACACCAGATGTTACCATAACAGTATTTGAAGTTTTACCATTTAAAACAACACGCTGAAGACGTGATGACAAATATGCTTTTATCCAATTTAGGATAGTCGTGTCAAAATTCATGCGCTCTAATTTGTATAATAATAGTTCGTGTGACACCGTATCGAACGCTTTTTTATAATCTAAGAAAACACAATCAATCTGTCCGCCTCCGTCAACCCCCGTCATTAAATCATGATAAAGCTCAGTTAGTTGTGTAGTACATGAGTACGCCTTTCGGAACCCACGTTGCGAGTCAAAGAAAAAATTATGACAGTTTAAATGCTTCATAATGTGACAATATAAAACATGCTCCAGTAATTTACAACATATAGATGTCAGTGAGATCGGTCTGTAATTCGTAATTTCTTTTTTGGGCCCTTTTTTGTGCACAGGCACCACGTGTGCCACTTTCCAGTCGTCTGGCAATGAACCATCATTCAACGATTTGTTATATATTACAAAAAGGTATGGAGCGATCGCATCTGCACAACGTTTTAAAATTCTCGGAGAGATCCCATCTGGGCCTACTGCCTTAGCTTCATCTATATGCTTTAGAAGTTCCAACACACCTCCTATAGCAAGTTCAACTGGTGGCATTGCACTGAACGTGCCCTGGCATCTATCGTAGTCGATGCTCTCAGGAGGCAAGAAAACTGATTGAAAATATTGATTGAAGGCTTCAGCTTTTTGCCAGTCATCGGTAATTATTTCGTTGTTGACCATCACGTCTCCTATCCCAATCTGATCATTACCACAGCGCCTCATGTACTTCCAGAACTGCTTGTTGTTTGCTTTCATCCCGTCCTCCAGCCGTTGCAGATAATTTTCTTTGGCTTCCTTCGCCTTTATTTTATACAATGACGTAAGTTCTTTTAGCTTATTTAGATTTTGCACCGAGCTCTTTTTTTTATACCGTGCAAACACACGCTTGCGCCTCTTTATCAGCCGCAGTAGGCTACCGGTAATCAGGGACTCGTCGGCCAGCTGCGCGAGCCCTTTTTAATTCTTGGCGATTTTAATTTCCACCACCCCTTTGGGGTAGTCCTCGACAGGACTCTCATGGTGGAGTTATTGAGCGACTTTAATTATCATCCGGGTTATGTCTTTTGAACCAAAAAGAAGCAACATTTTTTAGTGCCGCCCATAACACTTTTACAGCTATTGATTTGTTTGTCCCTATCATCACCATCGTTACTTCCATGTTTTTCATGAAAAGTGTTAAACAGCCCTTTTGGCAGCGATCATTTTTTTCATTATTTTAGAAAGCGTTATACCGATTCCATAGATTTCGACTCGCCTTCCTAGGTGGAAGTTAGAGAATGCCGACTGGTCTATTTTTGAATTAGAGGCTGTGATTGATCCATCTTTGCTTCGTACTATGAGCCCCGACAATGTGACAGTTTATGTCACTGAATGTATAATTAGTGCGGCTTCGAATTCTATTCCTCAAACATCTTCCCCGCAGGGGGCACCTGTGAAAGCAGGTGTTTGGAGAGTGGCGTCTCCACGGACCCCGAGCCATGCGGGTTCGCCCGCCCACGTATGGCTGTGCGTGGCTTTCCCGTGTCTGGGGAAAAGGGCATCCTGGTGGTTGAGCCGAGCCCGGGGTAGGTTTGGACCCTCCGGGGCCCCCCGGGCAAGGCAATACACCGCTTCGGCCCCCGCTTCTCATAGACGGGAGTCCTGGTAAGGCCCGGCCAGGATGATTCAGCCTAGTCGCCACTTCTACTATCCCCTCCCTTCTTTTACCTTTGTCTTCTCCTTCTTTTCACTCTTCTCATTTTCTCTTCTTTCCTTTTTTCATTTCCTTTGGCGGCAAGGGCTAACCTTGGGTGGCGACAGACTCCTTGTCCAGAACCACACTTGGGTATAGTACCTGGGCAGTGCTAGTAGCGTAACGTCTCCAGCAAAGCCCTGTTTGTTATGGTGCGTTACCTATTCCCGTGTTGGGCTCCGTGGTGGGCGGCACACCACAGGTTCTGAAGACTCTCCGCCTCTTATGGCTCCCCCCTCCTCCAAACCAAACACGGCGCGTGCCCCTAAAAGGGGTTGCTCCGTACTTACTTTCGAAAAAGCATCCGAACCGCCAAAGTTTCCAAGATTTTTTGTCATTCAAGCTCTAGATGAAGAAAAGCCACTGGCTAAGCTCTCGCCTTTTCTAGTTTCAAAATGTCTTGATGCCATTATTGGCAAAGCTTTCAAGGCGAAAAAGCTTTCTGGTAACCTTCTTGTCGAGGTTGAAACAGAAGTTCAAAGCAGGACGCTTCTAAAACAGACATGTCTAGGCGAACACCAGATAAAAGTAAGCCCACATCGGACACTGAATAGTGTTCGAGGTGTTATCTCTGA